GGGGGGGGGGGGGGGGGGGGGGGGGGGGGGGGGGGGGGCAGAAAGAACCCAAGAACTGCTCGGGGCCAAAGCTGGGGGCCCGGTTCCCCGGGGGAGACTCCCAGCGCTCTGCCCTGGAGCAGAAGGAGAGAAAGTCGGGAGCTGTTTGTGGCCATGGCCCCAGTGCCTCCTCCTCCTCCTCCTCCTCCTCCTCCTCGGGGCTGCGTGCCGCAGTGCTGTCCCTTCGCAGGAGGAGGCACAGCTGCTCCGTTGCCAGGGCTGTCCCTGGAGCCCTTCCTGTTAGGCGCCACTTCCCGCAAAAGGCACTTAACCCTTGGGAGCAGGAACCAACCAGCCCAGCCTATCAACGGGCAGGGCGGGGGGGGGGGGGGGGGTGGGGGGGGGGGGCTGCCGAGCTCCCAGCAGGGTGAGAGCAGAAGGCAGCCGCTGCCTGACTGCCAGGCTGAGGAGTGGGCACTGCCGGGCATGGCCACTCAGCTGGGGTTCTGGGTCCTGTGCTGAGTGGCAGCCCAGCCGTGGAAAACATCCCCCCCCCCCCCCGGGGGGGCCCCCCCCCCCCCCCCCCCCGCCCACCCGCCCGCCCGCCCAGCCACCCCCCCCCCCCCCCCGCGGGGGCGGGGGGGGGGGGGGTTGCTGGGCCCAGCTGAAGGGCTGCCCTCTGGGGAGGGTCAGTGGGAAACAGACCCCGGGCACCTCCATTGGGTGGGCATCCCCAAGGCCTTTTGGGTTCTGGGTCAGGCTGTAGGGGAGGACATTTCCCTGGCCGAAGACTGAGGTCTTGGCGCCTTCCTGGGTCACATTCTGTCTGCAGAATCACCAGGGACTGAGGGGGGGGGGCATTGGGGGGGGAGGGTCCCTTCAAGGGTGCTGGGCAAAAGGGCTTCTGCCTGGTTTTCTTACTCGCTTTGATGTGGCTCTGCAAGGAAGGCTTGGAAGGGGTTGAGCTTGTCGCTTGAGACCCCAGGCGAGTGAGGTGAGCCAGAGAGGAGGGGGCTCTGGTTCAGAATCTGGAGGGGGGGTTTCCCCCCTCCCCACACGGAGGCTCCTTGCGAAGGTGCTGCTCTTCCATTGCACACCTGGGAAAATGCCTCCCCCTCCCTGGGATTCCAGCCACAGCCCTGCCCCCCCCCCCTTCAAGGTCCTTCCCGGATCTACACACACAGACACACACACACACACACACACACACGCCTGCTAACCTCCCTGTCTCCTCTCTTCCCTCTCAGAGCTTGTTGGGTGATCCAGCTGCGGCTGCCAACGTGGAACCTGAATGGAAAAGTTGCAGAAGGTAACTTCTCGTGGCTTGTTTGTTCAGTGGATTTGGGAAACTGGCCGGTCCCCCTTTCTTGGGGCTCTCTCAGCCTGGGGGTTTCCTTGCAAACCCCCCTCCCTTCTACCCCTGATGAGGTCACTTGGGTCACGAAGCGCCCGAAAGCCTCCCAGGGGCCTGGAAGGGCTGCAGACCTTCTCCTCTGGGGCTGCCTCGGAGCACAGGGGCCCCCAGGAAGCCGAGAAGCAGCAGCAGCAGCCGGTGGCTGTGGCAGGATTGCCATCATCTCCCCACAGCTCAGCGCGAAAGGAAAAGGGGTCCCTGCAAAGAAGGCCAAGTGGTGACAGGCCCCCTGGCCACAGCTGTCAAAGAGCCCCCAGCGGTGGAAGGCGGCTGCTGCTGCAGGGCCCTTCCTGCTCTTGGAGGGGGGGGGAAACGGGGGACCGGGGGGGGGGGGCACATGGCTGCTTTCCCCTGCCCCGACAGCAGCACTTCCAGGTGTCCCTGCCTCCCTCGGCCCTTCCAAAGGAGCAGGAGAGGCTGCTGCACAGCCCGCTTGGCCAGGCCGGAGTTGAACGTCTCTTCTGCGCCTGCCATTGGATCAGCCTCCACTTCCTCTCGGGCCCCTGGCGGCTCAGAAGGCAGCATTGCAGGCTCGCTCTGCCCACTGCCAGGAGTTCGACCCTGACAGGCCCAGGGTTGCCTTCCGCCCTCCTGCGGTCGGTCAAAGGAGCAGCCGGAGTGTTGGGGGTGCCAGGCTGACCTTGCAAGCTGACCCAAGAGGAGCCCAGGCAGCCGGAGGCCGGCTTCAGCCTCCCTGATCGGCCTCCTCCTTTCTCCTCGCAGCACCTGGCTTCCCCCAGGAGCACCGGCGTCTCGTCTTGGGGCTCTGGGGCCCCCGGATCTCCCTCCAGCATCACGGTGAGAGCCGGCAGAAGCCTCCACCCGCCCCGCTTTGAGCAAACCACGGCCGGCTGAACAGCAGAACGAGGAGAGCAGAGGGCGAAGGGGGGGGGGGCAGAAAGGGCCCCCCCCCCCCCCAGAGTTTGAGGGGAGAGAGCGGCTCATAGAGGGAGGGGGGAGCAAAGCTTCCTTGGCCCTGAGCCAGGAAGAGGCGGGGCGAGCAGTGATGGGCAAAAATGGGGTTGCCCTGTCCACCTCTCACCCCCCCCCCCCGATACAGGGGCTCTGAGGGAGGGGCAGGAGGGCACTGGGGGGACAGAGGAGACACAGGGACCTTCGGACAAAGGAAACCAAACCCCCCGATAGTTGAGGTGGGGCTCCTCCGCACTAGGACCGGGGGGATGGGGTGCTTCAGCCTCTGACAGATGCATCTGGCTCTCTGGGAGGAAACTTGGGGTCCTTGTGAAGGGTTGGGGTCCCCTTGCAGGGCTGGCTTTGTGCCTGCGGCGGGTCTCGAACTCGGTTCCCTGCTTCACCTGAAGCACTTGACCAAACCGGATCTTGTGGCATCGAAGTACTGAGGTGCACAAAACTGAGCTGGATGGAACCCACACTGTGTGTGTGTGTGTGTGTGTGTGTGCACGCTGCACAACCTTGGCACTGGCTGGTGCAGCTCCTCCCCTGGGAGAAGGGTCCCAATCCAGGCTTGGAAGAAGCACCTTTTCTCTGTGTGCCACCTTCATCGATCAGCCCCCCCCCCCCCGCCCTCCACCCCGCCCTCCTCTCTCCTCTCCCCAGGCCAAGATGGACAACGAAGTTCTTGGCTACAAGGACCTGGCAGCCATCCCCAGGGACAAGGCGATCCTGGACATCGAGCGCCCTGACCTGATGATCTACGAGCCCCACTTCACCTACTCCCTCCTCGACCACCTGGAACGGCCGAGGAGCCGAGAGGTGAGGCCGGCATTGCAAGCGGATGCCCTCGGGGGGGCCCTGTGCAGTTTTGGGGGGCTGAGGCCCTCACCCAGCATGGCCCCCCAGCCAGGCATGGCTGTCCATCCTATTGTGGGAGTGGAGGACGGCTATCCAAACGTACAAGCAGCCGCTGGGCAGGGGAGGGGCAGTTGCGAGGGGCCTTGGGCGGAGTGAGGAGTGACGCCCGCCTCTCCTGGCTCTTCTCTTGCAGCCCTCGCTCTCGCCCACGTCTCTCTCTCCTCCCCCGTCGCCAGAAGTAAGTGCTCCTACGAGGGGCGGATGGGCGGGCAGGAAGTTGGGGGACCTTTGGGGGGGGGGGGCTCGGCTTAGGTTGGCCCCTGGCAAGGGAGCTTCGGAGGGAGCTGCTCCTCTCGGGAGGCGGGATGGCCGAGGAGGCCCAGGGCCTTCTCCTTGGGGCCCCTCCATCGATGCGCTCCCTGCTTTCAGGTCAGCCACGAGTGGGCAGAGGCCAAATCCCCAGGAAGCGTTGGGAAGGCCTCCGGGCGCCGGGCTGGCAGCAGGAACCGCTCTGGACTCCAGCACTTCCATCATCCCGGTACGGCCTCCCTCGGGGCCCTCCTGCTCCCGGCTGCCCCGCACCTTCCCCGGTCCGGTCCAAAAGCTCAGCGGCCTTTGGAGCTGCAGAGGGGTTCAGGGATGCGTCACCCCAAAGGCTGAAGGGGCCCAAGGGCCGTCCCTGAGTCCAATCGCCCCCCCCCCCCGCAGCCTTCGGGTGTTCCTCCTCCAGGGGTTGGCAAGTGGCCTGTCACGCACCAGGGGCTGCTGGTTTTATTCCAGCCTCTGGGTCACCAGGGCCACAGCCCCCCCCCCCAAGAAAAGTCTTCTGCAACTCTGCCATGGAGGGAGGGGGAGGGAGGCCCACGGAGGGGGGAGCCGGCTGTCCCTGGGCACCTTCTTGGCACGGAGGCTCTGAACTGTTTCCGTCCCTTCCCCAGAGAGCAACACCACGGAGCCGAACATCTACAAGAAGCCACCCATCTACAAGCAGAGGGGTAGGGGCTGCTCCTGGGAGGAGGGGGCTGCGGTGGGGTGGGGGTAGCAGCACGGTCTGGGCCTCATGGCTGTTGGCCTCTTCCAGAGCCTGGGCCGGCCCCGACCCCCGAGAGCAAGCGGATGATGGAGGGCCTGATCATTGAGTCCTCCAAGTTCCCTGCCGCTCAGCCGCCGGATCCCAGCCAGCCAGCCAAGATTGAGACCGACTACTGGCCCTGCCCGCCCTCCCTGGCCGTTGTGGGTAGGTGCCTTCGCCAGAGCTGCCCCGAGGTCTGCGGCTGCCCTGAGCAACGGACAGGCGCTCAGGAGGCTCCGGGGATCGGGGCCCTTACGGAAGGCAGGCAAGGGCTGATCCACGGGGGGGGGGGGGGGGG